AGCATTCAAATTTGAAAATGTTATCAATACAGTCAGCAGTAATCAAATAAATCTAAATAAGGACTGCAAGGACATATTATCTTCAATATTGATCAATCTGATTATATTCACAATGGGTCTCAAAACAAGTAAAGAATCATTCCAAAGCCAAGTCTTTGCTTTTGTCCAAACAGAAGAGAAACTTTACTCTTAGAACTTAACTGTCATAAAATATATAAGATAGAAAATCCTTGGTTAAGGGGTGGGGGGGGCAGTAACTCAGTCTGTAGGGACTTGGGTTGGGAACCAGAGGATCGCCGGCTCAAATCCGGGTGTGGACCAAGTCTGGAAATTAGTCTGGTAGCTGGAGAGGTGACAGTTCACTTACTGAGCACTGCCGAGGTGCCTTTGAGCAAGGAAGACACTAACTACCCCTGACTCTGACATGTCTCCATTAGTGCCCATATGATCCTGTTTGTGCTGTGTGTGAAATTGTTTTGTTAATTTTTTATAAAAGTGTAGTGAAATTGAAATGTTCTAGCACCTACAAAACTCACACTAAAATATCTTGCAGTTGCAGCCATAGAACAAAAACCCAACAGGTAGTTACATTTTGACGACTCAGCAAAGCAAAGTATGAGTAATTCTTTAATATGTAATTGTGTCTCAGTTTACTATTAGGTTCTTCATAGGTTCTTCTTGGTCGACAATTCATTGCTTATGTCGCTGAAATATTACATCAGTAGTCTAACAACAATGCATTGTCCTGTCAGATTAAGAGCAGTTTAAATGGACAATAAGTTCTGTGAGAAGTGCCCTGCTTCCACCTAACACCTGACTGCTGCATATTTTAATAGTTTCTTTTTTGATTTTATGAGACAATTGAACAGCATCAGAAGACTGTAAAATAAAGACCTCCAGCACTCGTACATTACTGAGGCCCACTGGAGGAGCTTGGCAGGACCAAAACACATTCCTGGCTTCATTCTTTTTTTTTCTCGAACTGAGTCTCTGAATCCAAACCCTCAAAAATCAGGCAGGGGACTCTTTCTGCTGCAGACTGACACAAGCAAAGAGGCAGCCCTGCTTCTCATTAAGCTGAACCACACACACACACACACACACACACACACACACACACACACACACACACACACACACACACACACACACACACACACACACACACACACACACACACACACACACACACACACACACACACACACACACACACACACACACACACACACACACACACACACACACACACACCTCTGTTATTACAATGGGTTTAGATGTCTGTACTACCAGATAGAAATGTCAGAAGTCTAAACTGTGCCTGGAAAGCGTTTGAGCTGTCCTGTCAGATAAATGCATGGTCACAGATTAAACCCTGCGCACGCGCGCGCACACGCGCGCACACACACAACAAAAGATAACAACAGAGTAAATCCCTAAAACAATGCAGCTCATGATAATGTCTAATTAGTCTAAAACACCTAAAAGGTGTTTTCAGTCATGTTTGGCCAGTTGACTGACAGCTTTTCTGTCATCATTAGCCTCATGTTATGCCTGCAAACAAAAATGTCCTAAGAACCTGGGATTATAAATCTAATTAAATTAAGGGTTTGTTCTGTTTATCTCCCTGGTTTTTGAGTTTAAAACCCGGGCTAACACCTGGCACACTTTGGTACAAAAGCAGCGTTTATTAGCCCCCTCAAGTCAGAGGACAAAAAGCATGACAGAGCTAAAATAGATGTAGCTTCTCGGCTAACTCATTTAGCTAGCTGGTGTTGCTGTTTCTGTGTGAGGGTGTAACGCTACATCAGGACAAATATCTGCGTTTTTAATCCCGCAGCAAATTCATAGGAACCATCAGAAAGAGGCAGCAGTGATTCATTATGATTGTGTTTAACTTTCCAGTGAGTAATCCAGCTAGCTAACTAGCCTGATTGGCTCCAGTCAGTCCTCATTTTTAGGAACAACACATCGGGATCCCGTGAAAATGATCCCGGGCTGTCCTATCCTCTGACTCAAACTGCCTCCATTACTGGGAACACACATGCTTAATAAATGAAGAAATACTCACTGTGCTCCAGGACACCAAAGGGTGCTGTGTGTGTGTGTTGGTGGGCGCAGCTCGGCTCGTTGGAAACAGAAGCCGCAGACTGGTCTGTGAGCTATCAGAGCTGGCTGCTCCCAGTCCGCCTCTGGAGGCTCACAGGGTGCAGGGACAGGCGGTCAAACAGCGACACCTGCTGGGCGAGAGAGAGAGATACAACCAGAGCCGTGAACCAACCATACACTGTACACACTAACCTATACACACTAACCTATACACACTAACCTATACACACTAACCATACACACTAACCTAAACACACTAACTTATACACACTAACCTATACACACTAACCATACACACTAACCTAAACACACTAACCTATACACACTAACCTATACACACTAACCATACACACTAACCTATACACACTAACCATACACACTAACCTATACACACTAACCATACACACTAACCTAAACACACTAACCATACACACTAACCTAAACACACTAACCTATACACACTAACCTATACACACTAACCATACACACTAACCTAAACACACTAACCTATACACACTAACCTATACACACTAACCATACACACTAACCTAAACACACTAACCTATACACACTAACCTATACACACTAACCTATACACACTAACCATACACACTAACCTATACACACTAACCTATACACACTAACCTAAACACACTAACCTATACACACTAACCTAAACACACTAACCTATACACACTAACCTATACACACTAACCTAAACACACTAACCTATACACACTAACCTATACACACTAACCATACACACTAACCTATACACACTAACCTATACACACTAACCTAAACACACTAACCTAAACACATTAACCAACACTCACTTAAAATAAGAAATACAAGAACACTGATAAAGTCCCATTCAGAGTTGTATTTGTAGATAAATGGGGTCGTTGTCATTGATTTGTTTTAATTCACCAACAAGTCTCTTTCAAGACTGAGAAGATGTCTGCAGCCCCTGTGGACAAAGCAGTACCTCTTAAGTTTGCTTATTGTAACAGCAAAAAATATTGTCCTACTTTCCTTAAACAATCATTGTGATTATTTCCGATGGAAAATGTAAAAATAAAAAAAGAATGTTTTTCCATCAAGCTCAGAATCAACTCGTCTGACACCTACCAGCCAGCTGTGATTTTAGGCACTGAAGATATTTGCATAGAAATAATAAATCTTGTGTTTTTGTTTGCTTTTGTTGGTCAACACTATCGATTTAAATCTGTGTGGGCCGCATGGTGGTGCAGTGGTAAGTACTGTTGCCTCACAGCGAAGAGATTCCTGGTTCAAATCCCCGTTTGACAGAAGCCTCTCTTAGAGGAATTTGCATGCATGTGTGGGCTCCCTCCGGGTACTCTGGCCTCCTCCCACAGTCCAAACAGTCCAATGCTCGTTAAGTTAGCTGGTGAAAACAAATTGACCTTAGGTGTGAGTCTCTGTGGGCCAGATTTACTAAGTTCCCAATTAAAGAGTACTAAATTGCGTGTTCACTTGGTGGGCGTTTTGCGGGTGATCTACTAAGAAAATTTGCGTGAATGACACCAGGTGCACCAGGAGGCGGTACTATTTAAGTAAGGTTTTTGCGTGTTCTACTGGTTTACATCACGGAGAGTTTGGACAGAAAGCAGGATGACTGCAAGCGCAAAATAGGTATCAGTGAGAGGCAAATAAACGCACAATACTTTCGAGTTATAGGAGAAAAATCTGAATATTACAAAGAAGATTTTGGATATAAGAAAACATCGGCATTAAACAGGGCCTCTCTTTTCTTCCCTTCATCTTAAGAATGAAGTGTCATAGATTGCGCAGGAGGTGTGAGCTGTGTCCTCTGTGGACCGGGCGCTCTACACTCGGGCCGTTGTTGCGCACCAGACAGCTGACCAGCGCCGTGTCTGATCGGACATCAATGCCCTGGAAAGAGGCATCGAAGATGAGGTACAAACAGTGGTGAGGTACCCCAATCCAAGCATCCTACAGAGTAGCAGCAGCGGGATTTAAAGGGAGGTGACGAGCGCATTATGGAGAAGAGCGCACCGGAGGGGGCGAGCTGGGGGAGAAACGAGCAACCCGAGAAAAAGGAAATCCCAGTTTAAAATGTAATGTTGGCGAAAAGAGGGAAATAGGAAAATAGGAATGTTGTCAATGTTGAAATTCTTTAGAATGCAGAGGCTGTGAATGTTCAGTTTTCTTTGGATATATGGCAACAATAGCCTGTAGTTTAATCATGGTGTTTCTCTTCCTTAACGATTAGAATATTGAATCAAATTAAAAAATAAATGCATGCCATTTATTTTTCTGTCATTTGAAACATGTAAACACATGAGGGGAAAAACGCGATCTTTATGCCTTCTTTTGTTGTGCCTATGTCTCCTCCTAACTTCAATAACAGCAGCCTGTTGTGTGTAACACTGGTCTCCTGAATCAGCATGTTCCTTTCAAAGGTGTTAAATTCAGACACCTTCACAATCACCGCAATTTTTTGTCAGGTTTGGTAAATCACAATACATGTACTAACTGTTTGCATTTTCTCCTCCCAGTATTTTGCACGTTAGGGCAGAAACGCCCCATATTGCGTATTCATTAAGGCAAATGTACTAAATGGACAATGCGTGTTGTTTTGCTCATTTGAAAGAGGCAATCCTCACTGCGCGTTTCTGATCCATTAAAATGTCCCCACTTCTTTCACATTGTGCACCATCTGCCCCTCCACACATTTAACACAGCCATCAAACAAAGTGACTGACAGCTGGTTTCATGACTGACGGACACAAAAACTCTCAGATTCCTCTCTATGGTGCAGGGAACATGACAAAGATGATGAAGAGGAGATGTTACTGTGTCAGACTTTCATTTCACCAGAGCACAAAGAGAATAAAACAATCGAATCCAAGTATGTTTTTATTTTTTTGATGTTTTTTTTTTGTAGCAAGTGTGTAAACTGTGAACAGAAAAAACACTTTCTTCAGCTCATACTTGAAACATGAAAATTGACTGGAAATCCTTTCAAGTAACGCTGTCTGATGAATCACACAAAATACATACATCAGGGTTCACTTCTGATCAGGATAGACTGTCATGGTAACATATGCTGAACACCTAACCTGCTTCAGAACATTGATTTTAGTCTGTAGCAGCCTGTGTCTCACTTCTTCATCATTTCCTTTACATAGTTTGCTCAGAGTTTGTTGAATATGACGATCAGCGGACGGCAGGCTCGTTCATGATGGTGATAAGTTATAGGAAGCTTACACCGCCGCTTTCATGTGTACACACTCATCGAATCTCTGTATTATAGACCTCAGGAGCCGTGAAGCTGCACGTTTAAAGTCTCTTTTCATGACAGCTGACATCCTCATGTTGATGTCAGGGCTCGCTCACGTGAATAAATCAGATGTATGACTTGTTAAGTATAAAAGCTGATCATCCTTCGAGCCGCTAAAGTCTATGCAGTTTGTGGTTCTGTGTGTGTGGTCTGTTGTGTTGTCTCCTCGCCGTCAGCATCTGTCTGCTGCTCGGCCAACATGTCCCTCAGCTTTAGGCTGAGGACCGCGTCTCTGGGCTCTGCTGACACCTGCAGGGCGAGAGGAGAACTATCAGCGTGGGTTCAAATAAAACATTTCTCACCATTAACCCAAGTTTGATTTACTGCCAGAAAATATTTCCATGAATAGACATAACAATAAAGCAGCCTGAATGCTGTGAGCATGTGCAGCTCTTTGATTCATTATTGAACAAAAAGGTAGATGCTATCATGACAACAAAAGTAAGGCACCAGCAGCTAATGGTTCAGATTCAACCCTGTTGAATTGGCTTGCAGCTTTGGTTATTCCTTATACTCACAAGTGGATGTCCTCTGCGTCTGAGCAGGATGCCTTCTGCGAGTAACGCCTTCCCCGTCTCCTCGAACAGAGCAGAGTCCTCGAACTCAGCACGGCTCTGCAACTCTGTGTATTTATCTACAAACCTGCAGAATCACAGAGACACTAAGGTCGTCAAAAAGTACAAATCTTCTGAGACATTTTCAACATAAAGAGAGACAGCAGTGTCCAAATTTAACAAATATGCCCCAGTGTTGTTCAATTTAGACATCATGCAGGAGTTTGGCTGCATTTTTTAATAATAGAAAATAAATAAATTACCCAATTTTGGGTGCCTATAGGACTTCCTGTGGTATCAAAACTGGTACTGAGACTTTTCATTTTTACTAGAAACACAAGGTAGCTTAAAAATCTGGAATTGTGGGGCGCGCTGGTGGCACAATGGTTAGGGCGCGCGTCCCATGTGTTGAGACTCTCGTCTCGAGCGGTAGGCCCGGGTTCGCCTCCACCCGTGGCCCCTTTCCGCATGTCAATCCCCGCTCTCTCTCTCCCTGGTTTCCGACTCTATCCACTGTCCTCTCTCTGCATTAAAGGCACGAAAAGCCCAAAATGAATCTTTAAAAAAAAATTTGAAAAAAAAAAAATCTGGAATTGTGACAACCCTAAAAGACACAGCCACAAACATTTAGTGAAGAGAAAACATGTGATAAACTGCATTTTAAAGAGTCCACAAGTTTCAAATACAAAACACTCAAATCAGACAGTCTTATTCATGTCAGTACATCATATCTATTCCTAAAACACAGTCAGAACGTTAATGTCTGTTTTCTGTTTAGTGAAGTACCTCTGACACGTGGAAACAAAGTTGGACCTGGACAGATCAAAAGGCCGACCAGGTACGTACAGCTCGTAGAACTTTCTGAAAGCAGACAGACAGAAAAGTGTGAGCATCACCTGAATACAAATCTTACAAAAACTGTTCATGCTGATATGAAACAGCTGAATCTTATCCAAATCACTGTTTTTGGATATCCATAAAAGCTTGACTCTGTGTCCACCTTGTGTTTTTTTCTGAGTGCCAGCGTCTTTTTTTAATTGTTGCCGATATGAGGAGAGAGCGTGCAGCGTCATGCACTCCACTTTTTTGGTGCGGCCGCTCTGAGTTGAAAATCTTCAAAACTTTCCAGATGAGCGCTGACGTCCCCAGCGCTCTTTTCAAAATATGTGATATACCCCTTATTTTTGTCCCCAACGGATGGGTGATGTACCACATCCTCCATGCTCCTCATCCAGACAAAGCAGGAGGGCAATCATCATGATCATTGTGACAGAAAGAAAACTGTCTCAAGAATTAAACATAGGCCACAGTAAAAAGCAAGGGAGCAGCGATGGTCATACAGTGGACGTTTAAAAGTGACTGTTGTCATAGAGACAAGACACATGTAGCCGTTTTATTCTCAGCACACAAGCAATTCATCCCAACGCTCCAGAGCTCACAGTCAGCACTTTTCTGTAAGTAATGAAAAAAAAAAAGGTGTGGTGGACACAGGGCCTAAATTGACATTCTATTACTTCATTAACAGTGATGATCGTCCTTACGCTCTGACTTCATCCTCTCTGTAGAAGATCTCTGGTACGGTTTCCTGTTTCTTGATCCCGGCTCTTCTCCATGGTTTCACATGAAGCGGGTCTCTCTTTGGAGGAAAAGCTTCATAAACTTCGTACCAGACCGGTTTCGCTGATCGCTGAATGACTCCAGAGCGCATCAGATCTCGAACCCTGAAAATCAAACAAAGATGGAAGAGTCAGAGTTTTAAGGATGGGTAATTTATTGTTTAAATCAAAAAAACACAGATACATATGACCAAACTGCAAATCAAATCAGAATAAATGCTACATACTGAACTTTCACTTGTGCTAGCCCTATGATAAGACTGTTATATATACTTTTATACCAACACTTTCGCTTTTTAACCCCTTTATTTTATGTCAAACACCATGTTTCAACACCAAATTAAAATGGATTTGTAAGCAAATAAAAAGCAGTTTTTTTTTGTAATTTATGAATAGGTGTTTGAAATGTGTTAAGTGTCAACTCTGAAATGCCTTCTGGATATTGATCGATTGAGCATTTTTATTTTGAAGATGTATTTCTGTAAAATGCACAGCTTTGTGTATTTTGTTTTGATGAACGGACCATTTTAATGGCGATACTCGAATGGCGATACTCGATATATCGATATGTATTTTATTAACAGTGAAAACACATGGAAAATAAACTACTAAACTATTCACTGTTTGTGAATTTAAAAAGTAATGTTATAAAATAAAAATGTTCCTTAAATACAATAAAAGAGAGAGAGAGAGGAGGAGCAGACAGTCAGTCATCATCAGTGAGATGAGAAAAAGGTGACCTGACACCTCTATAATGTTATTTTAATGTAACATAAACTATATCTATATTAACCATGTTGTCTTACCCTATATCTTGTTTGAAAATATATCCATATATCTTAAAAACTCGATATATTTCCCAGCCCTAATTCAGCTTAAACAATATCGAAAAATCGCCCAGTCCTAAAGGTGAGTTTCCCTCGGAACTGGGAATGACGTCACACCCGAGTCCCAGGTTTTCCTAAATACCTACAAGCAGAACTACAGTCTTGGGCGCATAGCTATGACGTAACAACACAGCGTCTTTGGCCGCGGTCATGCTCTTGAGAAATGACATTAATGTATGATCTGTGCATTTAAGCTGCTTTTCATGTTTATATTTACTGTCTTTGTGAGCAGATCAATAAAGACTAATCGCTGGGTTTTGATTAAACGCCAGTTCATGCTTTCATGTAGCCTTTGAAAACGATCTACCTGCACCTACTTCTAGCGTTATTTAACTAACTCAACTTTACCGAGTCCTGTCAACTAAATAATGCATCGTGTCACTCTATTTCCACCACTAACACAGGTAACAACAACATGCTATTCGTCACATTGACGTGTATATCCTCTGTTAGCTTCTAAAGCTAGCAGACGCTAACAGGCACAGTGTAGAGTTTGGCTCTCTTACCGGGTAAACACATTCCCAAACTTCTCTAGTCTGCTGCCAGCCATTGCACTTCTTTTGTCCACTAATGTGCCCTCAAAGGTTACGTTAATGACGTTAGCTGTACACGTTATGGTCATACATCCATGTGTGCCACTAGAGGTGTCGTTCTTCTTCTACGAACCAATATCCGGCAGACTCTTCTTCTACTTCTGTGGAAAGTAATGGCGCTTGGCGTCCGTAGTTGTTGCATTACCGCCACCTACTGGGTATTATCAGCTTCACACAGCTTCACGATAGATAGGTTTGTCTTCTTCCTCCTCCTCCACTTGTGAGTGACAGTTTAGACGCTACTAAGCTTCACATTCTTTAGGATAAAGAATAAAGAATTACTGACACTTTCACTTTTCATATCCACACATCCAGCCCTTATCAACTGCTTTCATGATAAGTCTGAGGTTTCTTCTTCTACGAGGCTACTTCTTCTTCTTTGGTTTATAAAGGCGCTTGACATCCAAAAGTGTTGCTGCACAATGTCTACACACACGTGAGCTGTGTCCAAACTTCCAGTACTGAATGGCTTTGTGGCGAAAGGGCCTTTACTCTTGTAGATAACTGATGTGGTCTGGTAAAACTTGGTATTGAATTACAGCTGACTCAAAATGTAGCACGATTGTGTCGGACATCTTTCTCCATCACTCGCGCGAGTCGGGACATTCTTGTGACTGTCTGTCACTCTGTTACATTCTCAATCTTGTAGCTTCTCAGAATGACACTCAGTCAATAACTCCCCTGTTATGTAGGAAACATGACACTTTATATATATATATATATATATATATATATATAAGCCTCATAATCATCTAGTTTTTCTTGAGGTGTGTTTGTGACACACATATAACTGCAATCAACCCTCTTCTCTTCACGTCCACTATACTGACATGTCCTACTCTTTCTTAATCCAGTTAGCAACTTGATGTTTGTCCGACAAATTTGAAGCCACATTCTGGCTGTCAGTTAGTTTCATCCCAGCCAAATGGATTTCTATTTCAGTCTCACTGTCATCCCTTCAGCTTTAGATTTCAGCTATTTTAATCTTGTTCCTCACAGATTTCTTTCCGCTGTTTGTTTGACAACTCCATGCGTCAGCCTATTCCTACACACAGAGGCGCTGCTTGTCTACAGGCAAGGGAGGCAACTGCTTGGGGCCCCAGACCAGTAGGGGCCCCAGAGGGCTGACAAACTTTGAACCAAAGCAGCGGCCCAATATGTGCAAATTTTGCAATGACAGTAGGAAACTTCCCTAAGGGGCCCTCTCCTGACAGCATTCACTCTTGTTGCCCTGCTGATTGATCTTTGCCTATAGGCCCCAACAGGCTCAAGAATCTTCACCTCCTGCACCCTCTGCACACCTTCACTGCTTCTACATGTCTTCTTTCAAATTTCCATTCACATTTTCCGAGCTCTGATAATCTTCCTCTTCTTCCTCTTCTTCTGCTCCTCTTCTCTGGATTTACTTTTCAGCACTACCTTTCATTTCTCGGCATGGATCTGCTCCTGGACTCTGGTTAATTCAATGTCAGTTTGCTTTACCTCCATCTGTAGTTCATGTAGTCGACCTTATAATTAATTTCCTTTTAAAGCCTTTTTTTTTTCAAATCAAGTCGCATTTAGAAAAGCCAACATTCCTTGTCCTTCAGTTTTCTGAATGACTTCTTACATTTCCCTCGACCACACGTGTTGTCCTTCATTTTGTCATCTTTTATTGATGTTGGAGGTAAACTTTGAGCATGTATTGGGGTCTTTGTCTCTGTCCCACTGCATTAAACACAGAGTCCTGTTTGATGAGTTTCTATGTACAGTTTTCTGTTTAAGGTGCTGTGTTTCGAAACAGGCTGATCCAGATGTGTTTGACTGCAGATGTCAAGATTAACAGGTAGAACATGTCAGGGTGAAATTTCACTTTAGAAATTGGCAGGATTTACATAAACATCCCAAGCTTTTCAAAGTACATGAAACCAGAACTACAAACAAAAAAAAATGTTTATTTTGTACTATTGGAACATTTTAGAATCCCTATATTTGCTTTGTTTAGTCGAGGATTGAATAAAAATGTATCACAATTACACGTTTATTGCAAAGGATAAATTGGGCCAAAGAATATTTTTTATCAGTTGATTCTGGCTCTAGGCTTTAATTTGACATTTCATTCTCCGCTCTCCACTCATAGAGTTGAAGTCCCTTCCTGTGGACAAACAGGGAACTCTAATATTAAACGGCTATTGTCCGTCTCTCAGGGGAGATTCATAATGAAAAAGATGTTATCTCTCTGTTCAGTTCATCCCATGAGGCTTTTATGAGGAAAACAATTCACAGGATCCAAACTGTACAGAGAGCAGGAGCAGGACTAGAAAAAAAACAGAGGAAGGAACCCCCCCCCCCCCCCCTTTCCCTGCTCTCAACAAAATAAAATATGGACTTTCAATTAACTATTAACTACAGACATTTCTGATATTAATCCTTACCTTCAAAGCTCTCCAAGATTTGATCTCTGACTTACATTGACTTTATAGATCTGAACGGTCTTGTAACACTTGAAATTGTGGAAAGTACCTTTAAGACGTATTGTGTTGCTAAGTTACAAGGGGAGCCTACTCCTACTCATGTTCTGTGATATGTATCCGCATGGCTCATTGTTTTGCCTCGTGGATTTTTTAGAATTAGTATGGATTTGAAACTAAGTCAGTATTTTTTTGTTGTTGTTTTTTTTTTTTTTGCCTTTTCTTAAGTAAACTGTTTTAGTTAGTCTGCAATTGGCTCAGCTTTCTTTCTTTTTTCATGGATGTGACAGATACTGATTCTGATCTGTATGTTCTCCGTTCTGTTTGTGTTGATCTCCTTTTCTCCACATGACGACGGTGGATTAGTTGTTTCTCTGCACACACAAGGAAACTATAAATCCTCTGCTACCAAATTAGAAAAAAGTGGATTTACAAAATCCGCCTGGCAGCGTGAAAACAAGTAAATTCTTCATAAATGCTCCGGGGAATGTAAAAAATGCAGCCCTACACTCCGACGTGATCTTATTATTATAGCTCAAGATGTTTAACACAAAACCTTGTCCAAGTTTCAGATTATTAGTTTTGTCTGGACTGTGAAGTGAAGTAATGTGTTTGTTTTTTCACTGGCCCTTTTTCTTCCCTGTCTGACAGCTGTGTTCAGCAGCTCTTCTTCATTGCGGTAAATATATTTAAGACAAAAAAATATTGTGAATGTTCATGTTAATATTGTTTAATACTCAAGTCATTACTGGCCACATTTCGGGGAAGAGACATGTAGAATATCTCAAACTTGTGCAAAAGTGCAGCCTTGAAAGAATAGAAATATCATTACTCTGACTAATGATTTTTAACATTTCCATTCATCTTCACTCACAATATTTACTTTGTGATGCTGTCAGACGCAGAGCCACTGAGCTCCACTGAGCCACGCTGCTTCACTGGCTGACATGTTCCTTCATCACCATGAACACACAATCTGTAGTTAATATTTAAGTAAACCAAACACACACGGCGTCCCTCACGAGGATTCATCCTCTGCTAAAAATAATCCCCAAATAAAAACAGAGATCCTCCCGTTTGAGTAACGTCAGTATGAAAAGAACAGTTTTAGCAAATTAGTGACTTGTGTAAAAGAAAAAATGTTGTACATTTGTGAGCTTCTTTAGTTTAGTCTGATTGTTGCAGCCTCAACGGTGATCGTGTTACTGGCCCTGTTTCAGAGTTTCAAATACTCGCCTTTGAGCTCAAGTTTGGGTTGTGACCAGAAGATAAGATCACATTTACAAGTATCCAAAAATGAGTTTCCTTTGTCAGGACTCTGTGCTCCGCCCAATTGGTCGGTGCTCAGAGCAGAGAAACTGCTTCTGGTCGGGATTCTCCAGAACATCTCCCCAATGGAGGTTTTTGTTTAAGCATGTTATAGAGGTTCTCGTGTGGCTCATGAATGCTTCAGGAATCACCTTTAAGATAAGGAGCTGGTTGTTGGAAAGGAGGTGTCCCTCCTTCTCTGCTTGAGCAGTACAGTATGCATTTATTGGTGTTTCCACTGTCAAAAATGGTATCAAAATAACTGATCCGTACCGCCCTACTTTTTTGATTCCCTTCTGTTGGATTGCCAAAGGAACAGATCTGACCCCTAAAAGGTGGAGCTATACACACTGCAGTCTGTTGGTAGATTTTCCTTTTCACCTGAGCACTCAAGTATCATATCCCAAACTTTCTTTGTTTTTCCAGCTTTTGACTGATTTCTCCCTGGATGCGACCTTCTCTTAAACCAAGCTTGACTGCTTCTTGTAATAAACAGCCACATGCCAAGAAGAGAAGAACACAGAATTTGCCGGGCTTCCTCCATTGCTGCGCTTTCTTCATCTTTGTTGAATTCATTGGCGGGGGACACTGTGTCACACTGCTATGATGTCACGCTATTACGTAGCTGACGCGGCTATCCCCATCCGACTCACACGCCCCCCTACGCAAGCAAGATCGGGGTTTTGTGTATAAAGCTGTTCTGTACTGAACCGAACTCAAACGGACCACTTGGTAGAAACAAGTGTTGGAGTCACCTTCACTGATGGAGCATCGTTTACTGGCCTGCACATTGAGACTGAAGCTGCTCACTGAAGTCAGACACGCTACACCTGCTGTCAACCAAACAGACTTTAAGACATGCAGATCGTGCTTTTGAGGCCGTAGCACCAAACCTTTGGAATCCTCTGCTTTGGTCGATACCTTCTGCTGACTCGGCCTTTCATCAAACATTAAACAGGCCTATTGGTAATCATGTTTACCCAGTCTACTTACTGTGAATCATCCAGGTTTTATTGTGCCAATTATCAGCCTGTGAGCCACACCTTTTTTTTCTGTTTGTATTTCTGTTTGTTGTCCTTTGTTAATCTGAATCACTTTGTGACCTTTATCCATGATAAGTGCTCCATAAATAAAGTTTACATACTTCCGGGACAATGCTAAAACATGAATACTGGTTTCTGGTCTCTGTGTCTGCCTTGCTATATAGTGTGAGCAGATTTTCTGTGCTGCAGTGAAAGTAACTCCAACATGATCCACTCAGTTTCAGTCGGTGTTGTACATAAAGAGCACAAAAATGCTGGACCTAAACTCCAACGCTAGCTACAGTTTTGTGGGTGTAAAATTCT